TATTTTTGTTTCTAATAATTTACATTTTAATAACTAATAACTATTAATTTTAACCATGTCATTTAATTGTATTATCCAATTTTCTGCGTTTTATGTTTAGGGTTGAGAATCTTAAAACCATGAGTTTCCGTATCCAAGAAATGCGTCGTCGTCTTTATGTAAATCTCATTGAACTTGATACTCCTGGAACTTGGAACCACATTACTGATCAGATTGGAATGTTTTCTTTTACTGGACTCAAACGTAAGTATTCAACTCATTTATGAAATAGTTTCCATTGCAATCAATATTATCATGTGTAACCTCTATCCAAATTTTCTCACTTAGCACAACAAGTTAAAGTCATTAAAGAAAAATATCATGTGTATTTGACAGATAATGGCCGTATTTCTATGGCAGGTTTATCTTCTAAAAATGTGGAATATTTTGCGAAAGCTGTAGATGATGTTGTTAGAAATTACCCTTAATTTATATAATGCCTTCAGAACTTTTTTTTTTTGTCAAAAGATTTTAGTTAGATCAATTCGTTAATAATTTTAATAATAATACTCATGTATTATAAAAGTATATTTATAGTTTTTCTAACTAAACTATTACTATCTAGAAAGGTTGATGTATAAATATATGTATCACAGATGTAGCCCTTGTGAATTAAGTTCTACTTACAAGATTGAGTACTGTGCTCTTGGGAGCCGGAGGGGTTTTTTTTGTATCTATTTAAATCGTTTGTCAATGTCATCATGTAATAAATACTTTAAACAAAAATACGATATAAACTTCAGAAATATAAATTATTTTACAAAAATTTTAAATCATACCAGTGGTGCTCAACACCATATAATTTTTTTTATTATAATTTAAGGTTAAAAATAGGATAAAATTAGAAGCTATAGACTAAAGTTAAAAATAGAGTTGGGATAAGATTTTTTGATATGCTAAACATTTTTGCTTAGTATATTTGGTTTTGGTTACTTAGACAGTGTTTGAGATATTGGCATTTTAGTGTTAAACACCACTGGTATGATTTAGCAATGCCGTTTTATTTTTATAATTACAAAAATTATAAAAATAAAAATTATATGGGATCTTTGCTAGGATTCTTTTTCTAAAAATAGAGTTATTATGCTTTTCTTAATAAAAAAAATCTTGCGTAACAATGGCTCGTAGAGTCATTTTGCTAGCAAAGATCCCATATAATATTTCTTGTATATTTTATAATACTTGAATAGATTTGAAATTACAGTTTTACTAATTTTCACTAGTGGTGTTCAACATTATTTTATTTTAGTTTAGCTAGTAAAATTTTAGGGTTAGGAAATCTGAACTATAGTAAAGATATAAGTCTAAATTTGAGTTAGGATAAGGTTTTTGGAGACGCTTAACATTTTTGCTTAGTACTTCTGATATGTGTTAGCTAGTATATTTTTGTATCTATGGTATTAAACACTACTAGTATAATTTAGTAAAATCAATATTAAAATTTTTTATACAGTGCGGACAACCTAGTCACAGTAAATAAAAATTTTTAGTGGCCAAATTTAGATTTTATTTTTTATATATATGAAGAGGCCAATTTAAAAATTTAGCTAATATTTATATATAAAGTGGCTGAATTTTAAATTTTTAAGAGGTAATTCACCATTAAAGGATATAAACATCATATAAGCATCATAGTAAAAATCGACAGGCATTATTTATAGAATTTTAATAGTAGTAAGAATGGCCAACAATTTTTACAAAGAGTACTATGTAAACTTTTTTGTTTACTAAGTAAGTTTCTCTTTAACTTCTAATTAAAATTGTAGAAGAAGTTTATGCAGTTCTAATAGCAGTAAAATCATTAAATTTGGTCTGGTAATTATATGAAATTTTCTTTGCAGATCTGCAAAAAAATTTTATATATCAGGAAATTTTTAAATAAGGTATATATTAATTACTATTTGCAGGAGTGATTAATATCAATTTATATCGATTATAATTGATTAATTGATTGTAATTATTTAAATCTAAATAATTGCAATTGATTATAATCGATACTAATAGATTGCAATCATTTAGATTTGAATAATTATAATTGATTATAATTAATATAAATTGATATTAATCAGAATACAAAAAACTGTGATTGTAAAGAGATGTAACTAATATAAAGATATTTTCTATATAGTTATAAATAATTAGTAAAAATAAATTAATAATTATACCAATTTTGTGACTATAGAGGAGGTAACTATAAAGTGGTTTGACTATACTAAAAAAAACAAAATTAACAAAAAAATTTCTTATAAAATTAATTATTTTATAAACTATTGATTAGAATTATATAATTTTAAACTATTTAATTTATTTTAATAAAATAGATTGAATAGTATCAAAATTATATAATTCTAATTGATAGTTTATAAAATAATAAAAACTATATTATTTATTATCTAATTATATATCAGAAGCTTATTACTCTCTTTTTTAATATACTGTATATAAGATCAAATTTTTATATATAATTTTAATTTGTTTATTTTCTTTCTTCTCTAAAAAATTGTCTAATTTTTGTCACTTCTTTAAAAGATTTTTTGTTAAATTTGTCTTTTTTTTGTACCAAACTTACTTATTAATCAATATACGTATTTAAGATTATATAATTTTTTAATAAAAAAAACTATAATTTTTTTTGTAAATCAACAATTGTATTTTAAATTATAACTGTATTTAGTTTTAATTTATGATTTAACTAATCTAATTTGATGATTTTTAATATAATAAATTGTTTTTTAAAATACAAAGCTAATATTATCTATAATAAAATTTGGTTTAATCTATTCAAATTTTAATAAATTAATTTTTAGTAATAATTATAGTTTTAATCTATTAGATTTTAAACAAGTAATAATTTAAATTCAAATAGTTTAAAATTTTCTTTAATTGCAAGATTTTTAAACCTTGATGAGCATAGCTTGTAACTTTTTTTAAAAATTCTAGTAATTTGTAATTTTTAAATAAACTTGGTAAATTTAACAAGCAAATACTATATATAAAAAATAAAACAAAAAACCCACTTCAAGAGCCACATTCTTTTCATGTTTATTACTTATCTTGTTTTAAATATAAAAATAAGAAAGTACTTGTATTATTAGACTGTAATACTTTATGTCTCGTGAACGTGTTTCTTTTTAAGAAACCCCTGAAAACGACTCAAATTTCATAGTAAAAAATTGTGATCTGCTATTGCATAAACTACTTATCAACTTGAGTCAACTGACTCTGCATATTAGTCGACTATCGACTTAAAGTTAAAAAGTCATCGACTTGAGTCACGTTGTTAGCATCTCTAATACCACACCATACGGTATAATACGATATTATACAATATTATACCACCGGTTTTTATTATACCGGTATAAATGTAACCCTTGTAACCCTACTTTATACGACCCCCTAATTTGGGACGGTCTCTCCTGAAGGGCACTACTAACCAATGTACTGTACGTACGTACATCATTCTTATGTGTCTTATGACCAGGCCTACCGAATAATTGATTGTGGGGGCAATATTTCGAACTCAATTAATTGATTGATG